AATGATTGGTCACCCCCTATTTAGTTTGGTTGGAAAAATCAAATGGAGACTTCTTTCTAAAACCTGTTTCATGCAATGCAGGCAAATTGTGTCTTCATTTTCTGTTGCCTGTGTCTTCATCTGTAATCAGCCAGTGGAGTCCCGCAGCCTACATCTGCAATTTGTTGCTCTCTCCTAGTTTGCACAACACTGAACCATCTCATTTTGAAATTCAAGAGTGGCAGAGGAAGTCTTTAGTAGAGGATAGTAATTTGGGAGAAGGGAAAATCAAGAGCAAGATCACCTGTTTTGAAGAGGGCTGATGTTGAAGGAAATTGCTTTGGTTAGTCAGACTCTGAGCCTCTCAGTGGATGTGCTGCTGTGACCTGCCCCTCCATCACCAGTGACCTAAAAATCAAATAATTCCAACCATTCATGAAACTTATTTCCATCTGTGTTGCATGGCTTGTACACTTACCCCCTCTATTGTCAGCAAAAGTGTCTAAATCTTTTCACCTAGCAGGCAGTGGACTGGTTTTCTTGCTTTTTTTTCTGGCTGCTTCTGTGATTGTCAAATTAATACCTTCAAGCACTTTTCCAGATCTGTTTCTTACCTGTGTGCCCTCTTACTCTCTCTAGTCCAATACTGGTTAGCCCAGGCAGATTTTTCTCTCTGCGTTCTTAAGGGCTCTGGCTAGGCCTAAATTGACCCTAAATAGATTAGTAAGAAAAAAAATGTACATATTTTTGCAGGTATGTTGATCCCACCTTGAAGGAAAATAACCTCAAAATGACACAATGTAAATTCTTATTAAGAAGATTGAATTGGAATGGCCGTATGTAGAAAAGTAGTGAAAATGTGTGTAGAGGCCAGAGGAAGGGAAGAATTATTTCAGGGAGATGGGTCAGTGCCCCATGGCTTCTAATAGGAAGATGTCCTCTCTCCTTCCTTGGGGTTTCTCTCTTTTGTGGATCCTGGTGGAGATGCTGCCTTTCTCCTGGTGCAGCAAAGGCAGAGAATTCCTTTTGTGTCTATTCTTTTTTAAGTGACCTTAACTTAAAATAATCCTTAGAACAAGGGGCATTTTTTCTGGTGGCATATTCTGTCACTCTTCATTTGCAAAATGCTTTCCTTGAATAATATGAGGTGTAGTTGTCTTATTATCAGAAAGTACTACAGGTGGGGTTTCCCTTAGGAACCACTAGCCTATATCATTATAAACTAATGGATCAATAGGCTTTGAAATTGCTATTCATTGATCCCAAAAAGCTATTTTATGAAATGTACATATTTCCTCCTTGTATTGTAGCCGTTCTGTCCAAGTTTCTTTAGGGAAATTCTTAAATACCACTACTTACTTGATGGTAAGTTGGTGTGTGTGTGTGTGTGTGTGTGTGTATGTGTGCGTGTGCATGTACACACTTATAAAATCATTGTATAACTGTTCTGAACATTGATAAGGTTGTTAATTTACTTTAGTAAATCTTTGTGTGTTTGATTTTTTTCCCACTCAAGAGTTGGTGATTAAACCCAGTAGTGCTGTTCCACTGAGCTACACCCCCCAGCCCTTTTCACTTTTTATTTAGAGACAGGGTCTTAGTAAGCTACTGAAGCTGGCCACAACCTTGTGATCCTCCTGCCTTAAGTCGCTCAAGTTGCTCCTATCATAGGTGTGTGCCATGGTGCCTGGTTTATCTTTTGAGTTTTATTGCTTATATGGGACATTTTTTGGTCATTTTTTCCCACTGACACAGTCAAAGGAAACAAATGATTATTTTACTATATACTTCAGAAGCAGTCAATAACTGTTTAGAGACTAGGAGTGAACAAATGATGGGATGGCCTGGTTTATGCAGGAATTGTTCCAAAGTACTAATATTGTCTATACAGTAACTTATAAATGGATATGTATCTTAAAAATTAAGATAATCTCTACTCTTTGAAAATACAAGCCTCTTAACTATTAAAAATCCTTTCATGATTATTCATTTTTTTGTATCTCTCAAGTCACCACCTCTATATAAACACTAATCTCCCCCTCTCCAGAGTGGGAAAAATCTCAATACTAATTGAAACTAAGATGATTTTACTGCTGTTGCTGAGACGTTGACAGGTCTCTTACAAGCTAATGTCACGGCATGGGATCCATTTGCTCTGTGTAGCTATTCTGCAGGGCAGTAAGCATGCCGTGATTAATATGCTATGTGAAAAAAATGAATTTGTAAAAAATTATAACATAATCTCATAAATATTAATTCACATTTGTATGAATTGCTCATAATTTTCAATATACTTTTAAGGCACCTTCAGTATGATAAAAGATTTGATCTCCAATGAGATGGGCATAATGTTTTAAAAAGCACAGTTGATACCTTATTAAATATTGTGTGTGTGTGTGTGTGTGTGTGTTTGTGTGTTTCGGTTTCCGGGGATTGAACTCAAGGGCACTTGACCACTGACCCACATCCCTAGCCCTGTTTTGTATTTTATTTAGAGACAGGATCTCACTGAGTTTCTGAGGAACTCACTAAGTTGCTGAGGCTGGCTTTGAACTCTATCCTCCTGCCTCAGCCTCCCAAGCTGAGGGGATTACAGGTGTGCATGACCACGCTAGCTTATTATTTGTTTATTAATCTGTTATGCTACAAGAAAAAGATTCAGGGCAGTAGGTGGGTTGATGACAATGAAAAGAGGGGTTTCCCCCCCCCTGTTTTTTTAACCCTATAGGTAGTTTTTGTATTTCCTTTAGAAGTAGTCCAATTTAATTGTATTATAAATGAGCAACTCACAATGTAACTCGCCTGCCTCCTTCTGTTGTTGATATTCCTCAGTATCTTTTCATGAGAGGTAACTCTTTTGTTTAAATGTGAGATTAAACACAGAAAATACTTTGAGCTAAGCAGGTGTTTAACATAACTTATTGAGGTAGTAGATGCTGGACAAAGGAATTCTATTTAGCAGACATTAATTGAATATTTTTATGTGTTAGGTATAGTGTGCAAGATCTGAGACTATGCAGTCAGTGACCATTGCACTTGCTTTGATTGCAGCTTGTCCTCTGAAACATTGCTCACTACATCCACATTGCCTCAGGACAGCTACCTCTCAAATAGCATAGGACAGATCATCTAACAGCTAGAGGTTAGACCCAAAGCCACTCACTTGCCTTATTGGACTGTTTTAATTTTATTTCTTACCCCCACATGTAGGCCTTTCCTCCTTTCTGGGGTTTCTTGATATTTGCATATTGCATTATATTTTTATCACATGTTCATCTCAACATCCTTACTTTCCACCTTCTTTGCAAAATGTAAATGACAATATACAGTGCCTACTGGCACTATCAAGCTTTCAAAGCTTGCTTTGGTGTATTATAAGCAGTTTAGTATTTTTTAAAATCACTATTATACTTTATTTTTATTGTGCTTAATCACTGCTGTGCTTTATAGGTTTGAATGTTTTAACTAGTCTTGTTTACTTATGCATTAAATAAGTATATATTGACCACCAATTATTTTACCTGGCTTATGTAAAACACTTATTTGATGAAACACTGGGATTGCAGAGGTCCGCTGCTTACTTCCTGCCACTTTTGACCTTTTTTTCAGACAGATTATGCTATCAGCTGCTTCAAGGCTTTTGCCCAAGTTGTCTGTGCTCAGCCTTTCAGACTATGTCATCTTGTTGACCCTAACCCTCTGCCCTGGTCTAGATCATTTCCCCCAGTTTTAATACCTTTTGCCTTTCCTTTTGAGTTATCATTACAGTTTGCAGTGATATATTTAGTATGTGGGTATTAAATTTCGAAGGGAGGAAAGAGTGAAATTTTGAGATGGAAAAATAGGTAGAAATATATTTTTTTTTAAACTTTACTTTTGGTAGTACTGGTGACTGAACACACGCATGCTAGGAAAGTGCTGAACCACTGAGTTATCCCCCTCTACAAACCTTTTTAAAATTTTTATTTTGAGACAAGGGTCTCCTTAAGTTGCTGGCACTGGCCTTGAACTTGGAAACCTCCTTCCTCAGCCTCTTGAGTAGCTGGATTATAGGTGTGTGCACCCACTCTCAGCTTTATTTTGGTTTTATTTTATTTTTCAGTGTGCCATTAGGACCACAGAAACTGAGAAAATGTGGGAAGGAGACTCCATGAAAGAACATTGTCAGTTTAAGAATTGTATCTCATTTCTCAGGGTTCATATGGCATATATCAGGTGATCTGAGGCTCCGTAAGTTTTGCACATGAGCTCAGAATTTCAGTGACTGACTTCAAGGCTTGAAATGAATGGTGCTAGCATCTAGACTGAGCCCAGGCTTTCTGGTATTCTCAGTATGTTGTGAGCTGCCTGTAGGGACTTCTGTTTATTAGTTCATGTGGGCTTCATATTCTGCACTGGGCAACTCCTGTTAGAGGACATTGATTACCCATAAGGATAAATGCAAAGTTGTTGCTGTTGATCTTTGTGATGATTATATTGTCATTTACATTTTGCAAAGACGGTGGAAAGTAAGGATGTTGAGATGAACATGTGATAAAAATATAATGCATTATGGAAACATTCTAATTATATGAATTGATAGTTTTCTTCTTGTTGGCTCTGATATGTTCAGTCTTGTGCCTTTTCTTTTGAACTGGGCATGTACTTAGTATTCGTCTTTGAAATATACAGTCATTGAAAAGTCACTTGAAAAGTAAGAATATTGAGCTTCTTCTGGAAATGTCATTGTGTGCTGATCCAGCACAGAATGAAACAAAGGCACCAGTGAAATCACTTTCAATGGACAAGTACTTTGTGCTTTATTAAGTTTTCTGTCCAAGAAGATTAGAAAGGGTATATTTGTGATAGCATCAGGGACTCAGAAAAGAGAGCCATGTTTCTCAGTTTTAGGTTATTACATCCTATTTTTCTGTCCCCATCACCTTTTCTAGTAATTTTATTGAACCTTTGTTTTGGATATGGCCCTAGATACCTGCATAACCATCGCTTCCCTTTCCTTCCTTTTTTTTCCCCCCCTACAGAAAGATGTAGCACTTAAGCCTCAGGAACGTGTTGAGAAACGCCAGACTCCCTTGACCAAGAAGAAACGAGAAGCACTTACCAATGGTTTATCTTTTCATTCAAAGAAGAGCAGACTCAGCCACCCACACCACTACAGCTCAGACCGAGAAAATGACCGTAATCTCTGCCAGCACCTTGGGAAGAGAAAGAAAATGCCGAAGGGACTAAGACAGGTGAGAAAACTTGGATTTATTTTATTCTGTGAACTTCTATAGATGCTTGCTTCTCTGTGGTTCTTCGCACAGGTGGAGAAGTTATCCTTGGTGGCATCCTGTAACTGCTTGCAGAGCTGTATGCTCTGGGATTATAATCCCAATCTCATTTTTTTTTTCCAGTTAGAATTGGTAACTTTGGCTTGGTACCCTTTCCATTGAATACTCTCTACGCAGCAAAGCTTGATGTGTTTAGGGCAGACTGGTGTTTAAGGCAGACTGAAGTCTTGACAGTTGTCAAGGTGGACTGGTGTGTAGGGAAAAGAACCTTGAAATTAGGACGAAAGGGATAGGGAAATTTAGTGACATACATTGTGTATTTCATGGTTCCAGGGTACTAAAATTGAATCTTTGAGTAGTGCTTTGCATAAGATTGACATTTTCTAGGGAAGCTCAAGTATTGTGGCATGTGGGAGAGCAGTGACAAAGAAAGGGACTGCCTTTTAGTGCCTTAATTGTTTTCCATAGTCCATAATTGAAGACAGTCTTTGTGATCTGCCAATTGAATACAAGTTGGTAGTGGGGCTCCCTGGCCTGTTAATTATGTTTCAATGATCCACAGGCAAATATTGCCCTTGGAATTTGGGGAGAATTTTTGTCTGTGAAATCTGTACATTTGATGACTGATAAAGAGAGATGAAGTTGTTTGTAACAATTTTTTTTTCCCTGCAGAAATCCAGAGGCTCTAGTGACTGTAGAGTTACCTGTGTCCTGGGTATGTTTTGTTTTTGGTGAGACCATTGGGTGGGATTGACTATTACTTGAAGGAAGCAGGGGAAGGAATTGTGGTTCACAGAGCAGGTGCTGTTAATTAGAAGCTGAACAGGTAATTTCTAGTTGCAGGTGTTTCTTTGCAGAGGGGAAAGATCTGCAATCATATAAAACAGTGGTTTCAAAACCCACAGACCATTATAATCACATCGTTAGCCCCACTAAACATAAATTTTTGCCCTCTCCCTAGGATCTAATGAAGTTTTTCTTAAAAGATATTTTAGTTGTAAATGGACACAATATCTGTTTTACGTATGTTTGTATGTATGTATGTGGTGCTGAGGATCAAACCCAGTACCTCACACATGCAAGGCAAGCGCTCAACCACTGAGCTACAACCCCAGCCCATAATGTAGATTTTAGCTTAAGAAATTTCTGTTTGATAATGATCATACTGGTTTGGAAGTTATGTTACAAAGCATCTAGAGTGTATTTTGCATGATGAATTTTAGCTTAAAGATCAGAAGGTTCAGAAGCCTCAAGAAAAGGTAATGAGCAGTTTGGTGTAAGAGTTCAGCCTGTGGATAATAAAGGAGAGTATACTAAGAACCATCTGGAATGATGGGTTCAGCATGGACTCCAAAAGCTTCTTGCATGTAATGCCCTTCAGTATGACACTCAGGATGGTGTTTCTGAGGGCTAACATATAATCCTAAAATCCCCCAATTGAAGTTATAATACATACAGTTCTATAATAATTATGCTGTAGGCATTCAGTGAGGTAGTTTGCATAGTATAACCTGTAATTCATACATCAACCCTGCCTAGTAGGAAATTATGGTTACCCTGCTGATGTGGAAACTCATACTTGATCAAATGGCTTGTCTGAGGCCATCTGGCAGTGAGGTTCAGCACAATGATTTAGATCCAAATCTTTTCAGCCAAGAGCCTCCACTTTCCCCTGTACCTTCTCTTTGGGTATGCAGAAAAAGCACAGCAGGTCAGAGGATGGGAGGGGTTTACAAATATTTCTAGAAACTAAATGATAGTATGGTCAAACAGACTTTGACTTTGGCCATCAAAATGGTCTTTGAAGGTAAAAGAAAAATCAGAATAGGCTATGAAATTTAGAGGGTAGATCAAGAGCTGGAGAGTTTGAAAGTAACCAAATTTGGATTAAGATTTTTTAATAAGGAGGAAGGGAGAGGGGTGCGAAAGTCGAAATAGAGCTTGCACAGGTTGTCTCCTTAAGGAGCTTTATTCTCTCATTTGGAGACTAAATTCATTATCACAATGAAACGGCTGAGTAACACAAGAGTGATGTGTTGTCAAATCTACTGGCCAAATCATGACTTCTGTGAAGAATTTTGGGAAAACATAATCCTTCCCAGAACACTGAGTAAAGTCAAAAAAATTTTCAATATATCTGACATGGAGACCACAAGGAATGCTTTAAAAATTTAGTATTTTATATTTTAAAATACAGAGAATGCAAAAGGGTTTTAAAAATAGAGCAGCAATGATAAAAAGTTGATGAGAGTTCACATAATTTTCAGGTTTGGCTCCAACTAGATATCCTAAATCTCAATTTAATTCATTAGATTTTCCTTTCTCTCTGGTTTGAACTGAACCAGAGGAAATAGACCGAAGTGACCTACAAGTCATTTTTACGATATATTAACTTTTTAAACAGACATCAGGATGTATCATCAAAATAAATCGAGCCTTTCTCCTTAACTGAGATTTAGGTGCCCCAAAGTCATTAAGAGCAGAATTTTGCAGAAAAGAGATAACCTATTGAGATGCCTTCTAGTTGTAGGCAAACACTATTCATGGGAAAAATTAAGGAATTTGGGAATACGTTACCAGTTTAGCAGGTAGACGCTGATCTTGCTGATAAAGATGGTTTATGCTTTATATGATTTAAAAAGCTTTATATAAGTTACTGTGTATAGACAATACTTATAAGAAATGGAAATTTGCTTCTCTTTGAAAATCCAGTATGGCCGAGTCAAATTTGGTGGAACATTTATAGTTGACCAAAAATGTCTGCTGATTTCTAGGAAGAAAAGTCATGGATTCCAGTGCAGTCTTTAAAATTAAAGCTGTTACTCATTCATTTCGGTTAATTAATAATAAAGTTAGAGCTGTCCTTGGTGGGTTCATTTTCTTTCTGTACTAGCATTGCACATTGGATGTATTTGGCATAAATGGTGGTGTTGGTGTATGAGGGCCCAGGTAACTAAGCCACCATCTATCTTTCTACCCATCCTGATGAAGCAGTATTTCCCAGTCTATGTTCTTTCCTATTTCAGTTGTTTGGTACCAGTGATTGGTTCTGTAATTTTTTTTATCTTTATTTTGCTTATTCATTTTTATGTGGTGGTGAGGATCGAACCCAGTGCCTCACATGTGCAAAGCAAGCGCTCTGCCACGGAGCCACAACCCCAGCCCCTGGTTCTGTATTTTAGAGAGACTTATTCATGATGTCTTGGGAACTCTCTGTGACATTTGTTATTAGAGAAAGTTATCTTGCAAAGGAGGATTTGTAATGGAAAACTTTGATTAAACAGATCCAGTTCAAGTCACATTTTTGAAAACCTGCTATAATTAGTTTTGGGTGAAAATACAGGCCCAAAATCACCCAGGTATTTATCCAGCTTGACTCTAGAGCCTACAGGCTTCTGGAAGTCAGAGCACTTGAAAAATGAATGTAATTTGTGATTATGCTTTCATAATGAAAAGATATGAACTTTGCTGTGTTCTTTCATAATGGTTAAATGCCTGAAGGTACCTTGAGCTAGTATCAAGAAATGTGAGCCACAGTTAAACCATTTTTACCTCATACTTCAGAATTTCAAGTTTAATATGTTAATTGTTTCAAGTTTAATTGCTTTTCAAAAATCATGCTGTCATGTGAAGGTTACTAACTATGATATCCAATAAAATTGTTTTTCCTCTATGAATTTAAGTTACAGATTACTTTTTTCTCGTTGTTCAATTATAAGAATAAAAATATGTAAGGAAAGATTGAGAGAATAAAAAAGCTGTTTACAGTATCTCTGGGAATTTTGATTGACTTGAATATGATGCTGACTTTCAGCATTTAGTTATTGAGGATTTTTAATCCAGGCTTGTGTATGTTCAGGAGTTAGTTGTGTGTTATACTGGAGGGGTGGCTTTTTTTTTTGGAGATGGGGGTCTCACTATGATGCCTGGTCTGATCTTAAACTCTTTTTCTTAAATGATCTTCCCACCTCACTCAGCCTCCTCAATGCTGGATACCAGTGTGCTCCACCCCACCCGATAATGGCTTTTTTTTTTTTCGTTTTAATTTGGGTTATTTGGAAGCAGTGACCACTGTTTTGTATTCTAGAATTTTTGGCTTTGTCATTATCTAGGATATATTATGTGAATTCTAAATGTTAAAGCAAGTGTAAATATAACATGACTTCATTGAGACAGATCTTCAGAGTGGTGTGGCCAATAATAATTATATCTCAAGTGCATTTTGTAATTTTTAATTAAAATTTTTGGAAAGTGGCTCTATTAAGGGTAGATAGCTGTGTGTCTAGGTCTAAGGTGGGCTTCTGTCCCCATTGGGCTGCTGGAGTGGAACACAGTACCATCTCCCTCCCAGGAAGGCTCTAGTAAGTAGCTGGAGGCAAAGCATGTGGAGGTGGAGGCCAAGACTCCAGTCTTAACTGCTGTGTGTCTAATTGAGAGTCCTGGTGGAGTTGGCAGGGAAGCCACTGCTTCAGAGACACCTGGCTAGTGAACTGTGCCTTGGGAAAGAGCTCCAACATGCCTTTGTGCAAGGAGACCCTGACCCCAAAGCAGTGGGCCTGTGAGTGGCAGGAATAAGAGGTCCAGACCTACACATTCATTCAGTTATAAAACCCTCCAAAATAATTATGAACAGTGTCTAAAAAGGGGGTATGTCATATTTCTGCCACCTCCTCAAATAGAAACTACAGAAAAAAAAGAGTTTGAGAGAAGGAACTGCAATTATAAGAGTGGGTGCTAACTCTTATAATTGTGAGTTATGAAACAATTACTATAGGTAATTGTTTCGTAAAACAGTGAATTTTTGAGTTTCCCAAAGTAAGAATTTGAGGGGTATGTTCAAAACTTTATTAAGGGTAATTCAGATTATGTATAGTGCTTGAGAAATAGGATAAAGAAAGCCACAGAAATGATTCTTACCTCCAATAAATGTCTACAAGAAAATTCCATTAATAAATTGGTGA